TCGCCGGATCGGCTTTCACCGTGGACGAAGCGGAGTCCAGCCCGGGGTCGTCACATTTCGTCGAATCGCGCCGTTCTCAAGCCCGCGGTGTGTGACGCTGTGTTTCGTTGTGAAAGTGAAACTACTTTATTTGGCTATTTGGCTTTGGACTCGACTAGAAATCAGTGGTTAAGTTGTATTTACAACACTGTTCCAGAACATTGCTAAGGTGTAGTTGTTAACATGTTGCTAGGCAGTGGCTCGCATCCCTCTTTCACTGTAAGTCTGTGGGTTCATTCCTCCTCCATACCTTCCTCTACGATCCGTCCATCCCAATCATCACAGCACTTTTACTACCTGTCGCCTGCATCTCCATGACGACCGTCCGCTGCTGATATTCTGAGAAGAGAGGGGCGTTCAGTCTATAAATAACCAGACAGATGGTTCGTCCCAACATTACAGTTGATTTGACACATTTCTCCAAACTCAGGTCACTGTTCTCAAAACAGTTCATCTGAACACTTTGAATACGTTTCCTAAACAGATTGTACGTTTTAATTCATTTCATACAAATTACAAATCACGCAAATCATTTTCTCAAAACAATGTGCACAAAACTCTGAAATGTTTTCACAATAGTTAATGCAACCAACCAATACTTTTTAAAATATCTGGGGGAAAAAAGCATTTTACACAAATCACAAACTGTTATGTACCATTTGTCCAAACGCAACCAACAAAACTCTAGTTTGTCATTCGATCAAATGAACATGGTGTATTTTTGATTGGCTCTAAACTGATAACTATTCGGTTAATCATACACTCAACACAAGAAATGCAGTTTTCCTAATCGTTTACACATTTATCACAATTGCTTCAGAGTAATAATAAAACAGAAAGTATACAAAGAGCAAGAACAAATATGCAAATAATGATGATGGTAATAATAATAATAATAATAAAATATGTATGCGTGTATAGTGGTGGCCAAAATTATTAGAACACTAGTATTTTCACCAGCTAAAAAAAGTCATATATATGATCTGTAGTTAACAGAAAAGTTTGTTTGCCGTTCTTGCTGTTAAAGATGGCACAAACTGATTTTACGTTTAAAGGGGTCATATGATGCGATTTCAATTGTTCCTTTCTCTTTGGAGTGTTACAAGCTCTTGGTGCATAAAGAAGATCTGTAAAGTTGCAAAGACTAAAGTCTCAAATCCAAAGAGATATTCTTTATAAAAGTTAAGAGTCAGCCACGCCTACCTAAAACGTCTCGTTCTAACACGCCCCCACATGTCTACGTCACTATGTGGGAAGATTTGCATAACGCCGCCCAAATGTTCACGCAAAGAAAGAAGGCGTAACTTTTATTCTCGCTGTAGTATTGTTGCCGCCGCCGCCATGTCGGGAAGTCGCTGTGTTTTCGTTGTGAAAGCGAAGCTACTTTGTTTGGTCTTCCAAAAGAGGACGATATCCGCTTCGTCATGCCTGGAGCTGATCCGTGCTGGTCGCTGAGGAAATACTACAACTTCGCGCTGTGGATCACCGGATCGGCTTTCACCGTGGACGAAGCAGAGTCCAGCCCGGGGTCGTCACATGTGGTTGCCGCAAGCCCTCTGGACGCTCCTTCGTCGAATCCGCCGGCCGCGCCATTCTCAAGCCCGCGGTGTGTGACGCTGTGTTTCGTTGTGAAAGTGAAACTACTTTATTTGGCTTTCCAAAGATGGACTCGACTAGAAATCAGTGGTTAAGTTGTATTTACAACACTGTTCCAGAACAGTTCAACCCAAATATCCAGATGTGTGCAGCACATTTTATGAAGGATTGTTTACTGATCCTGGGAGAGTAACATTAGACTAAAATGCCGGCAGTTCTGACTCACGTAGCGGTTAATAAACAGAACTGCACACATCCCGCGGAAGAACATTCCAACCGGAGCTACTTCTCTAAGTTTATGTCTATGGCGATTCACGCAGGTATTACTCCGCAGCGGTGACGACCCGACCAGGCTACAATAGTCCAAATATAAGTACTTATTATAAGTGTACTGTAGTGATTCGGAATAAGAAGTGTTGGAACAATTTTCATTCGTTTAGATATACACAATTTATGTAAAGCAAAACTCCCTGTTGAAGAATTGAAATAAACATGTATTTTCATTAGCATATTTGTGCAGCTACAGCTGAATGTGTTTTATAATCAATAGAGAACCCACCTATAGATTTTATGTTAATATTTACTTTTAATAAATGCATTAGTAGAAAAAACTGCAGTGCTTCATTTTGCAGTAAAGTTGAACTGTTGCATTGGAGAAAAGTCTCAAATCGACTGAGAAAAACTGTAACTGGTCTGTCGATGAATCAGACAGTAAATGATGATGGAGGATCAGCATCTGACAGCACAAACTGATTATATACATACTCAACAATAAATACTCAACAGGTCCTGTGAGACAGAGAGATGGATGCTTTTCACACAGATATTCATCTTTTTATCAATACTTTACAAACTCAGCCGTACAGCGCATTAGAAGAAATTGAGTTTCCGAGAAAGAGTGTTATGAGAGAAAAACCTGAGTGATGAATAAAAGAGAAGCGCAGGAACAGACTGTTTGATCCTACACTGAAAACTAGAGTATGTCATTCATAGAAAGCGACAGAAAATGCAACGTTATAAACTTACATCAAAGAAGCGACAGAGAAACTCTCTGTGTGTGCGTGTGTGTGTGTGTGTGTGTGTGAGAGAGATGCCTTTGAAGTTTAAACACTGACTACTGAAGTCTCTCTCTTTCACTCGCTCTCAGGAAAACATGGACAAATGTGTTTATTATTGAACTTCAAACTCCCAAAAACCTGTCATGAACATATTCATATTTCAAAATAAAAAAGTTCATTTATTCCTGTGATGGCAAAGCTGAAATATTCATTTTTCAACATTCATTTTAAATGTCTAAGTATTTGTTGTCAATGCTGTATGGATTGAAAAGTCTTAAATTTATGCAGGGATCTATCAAATGCAGTGTTTTTATATTACATATTATAAAATGTTATATGTAGTATAAACAGATATTTATATATTGTATAACACTAATGAGAATCTAATGAGAATCATCACTAGGAATAATTAGAATGACAAAACACAGAAAAGTTAAACACCTGGATGTATTACAGTAATAAAAATTTGGAGGGGAAATATTGCAATCTCTCAATGCAAAAATAATAATAATAATAATAATGATTTTTTTCCTACAGTTTGCATTTCTTTTAATTATGGGGTGAAATATGACTTGTTGGTGGTGTTGTTTGTCTTTTCTTCTCATTCTTTACATTCTTATGCAGTATATTTTTGTGCAGTTACCGTATATGATACTGAACTCTCTCTCTCTCTGTCTCAGTTTGTTCGCAGTATTCACGAGGAGTCTTTGCGATCTTCGGCCTGTACGATAAGCGTTCGGTGCACACTCTGACGTCGTTCTGCAGTGCGCTGCACATCTCTCTGGTGACGCCCAGTTTCCCCGCCGAGGGCGAGACGCAGTTCGTGCTTCAGCTGCGGCCCTCCATCCGCGGCGCGTTAATGAGCCTCCTGGACCATTACGACTGGAGCCGCTTCATCTTCCTGTACGACACCGACAGAGGTCAGAAACACACACACACTCATCCTTCAGCAAGTTATCAGAACTCAAATTACAATCAAAACCAATGATATTCAAATAAAAGCTCATTCTAATCATGTTAATAACAGATCATGATAACATCAATGTTATTTGAATTCAGATAATATTGTATTTATTTATTTTTTATATTTTGATGTTAATGTTAGTTTAAGTTTTAATAATTTGAATTAATGTGATTTTGTTGTTTTATATATATATATATATACAGTATATGTATGTATGTACAGTATGTATGTATATATATATATATATATACACACACACATATATATATATATATATATATATACGTATATTTAAATATATCAAGTTAAACTATGCAAAACTGTAGCTCTAGCAAATTGCTAGTAATTTGCAAAAACAATCACAAATTAACATGAATTTTTGACGTAGAAAGACTGAAAATTTTATTTTCTTGTAAAACACTCCAATAATCTTTTTTATTTACTATATATACAACATATAAAATATTGCATCTGCAACTTACTCAAATAAAATAAGGTTAAGTTGTTTTTGTATCTTTTATTTCATTTCAAATATTTATGGTTTTAGTTTTCATTAGTTTTATTTTTAATTGTAGTCAATAATGTAAACTAGATCGCTCATTTTAGGTCATGTATTCTGACTTTTGGATTACTTTTGGATTACTTTTGCCTGTTGAATTACTAAACTCAACAGGCTTTGATTATCACACATGAAGAGCCATTTTTGGGTTGTTTAAATGCTTTCTGGTGTCTGAGTTTAATGATCTGTTTGTTTGAGCGGCCCGACATGTCAACTTCTGACCAATCTTTGTAGACAGAGCGCAGAGATGAATGAGCAAGAGTGTTACAGAAAACCTTTAGGGAACCTTCATTTTGCAGTTCGGTTTGCTGTACAATTCCAATTTAAACCATTTTAGACAGAAAAGTGAGGAAATACCCATGACAGAAACAGATTTAACATTAAGAGCTTGAAAAACTTAAAAACATACCTTGTGTTTGCGTATGATGCAAGGTCAATAAGAACATTTTTTAACGTTAATCCCACTGAAATATCCAGCAAGCGTAGGGAAAAACTCATTTAAGTGATGTTACACAGTCAGGGTTATTCTTGTAAACAAAAACATTTTTGTTATCAAATAAAAAATGAAATAAAATAACAAATACAAAATAAAATATTAAATTTAAAAAACTTAAACTAAACAAAAATTAGAAATGTTAAAAAAACTAATTAAATTTAGATTAAAATTAAAGCTGAAAATATAAAATAAAACCAATTCAAAATCATAATAAAATATTAGTAATATAATAAATAATACCAAAATAAAAAATATTAGATTAAAAAAAGAATTAGAAATGTTGCCTTGGCAAGTAACTGAAATAAGTTTTAGTTGAAGCACTTAAATTACTAACTGGAAAACTGAAATAAAATAAAATTAAACCTAAATAGTAATATATAAAAAAAGAAATAAAGAAACTGACAAAATGACTAACAATTAAAATAAAAACTGAAAATATATAAAAAGTAAAATATGAATCAAAATAATAGCAATAAATAATTCTAAAATAAAATATACAATTTAAAATTTAACTAAACAAAAATTAGAAATGATGCCTTGGCAACTACCTGAAATAATTTTCAGTTGAAACACTTAAATTACTAACTGGAAAACTGATATAAAAATAAATTAAGCATAAATAGTAGTTTAAAAAAAATCTTAAAATATAACAAAATTATTAAAAATGTAACAAATTAAGATAAAACTGAAAATATAAAATCAATTCAAAATATTAATAAAATCTTTAAAAGCATATAATACTAAAATAACACTCTATACATTACAGAACAAACTAAGAATGGATGGTCGACCAATCAACTAGTTGTTGAACAAACGTCTAGTCAATTAGGGAGGTTAACTAGTGCCAACTTCTCATATAGTGTTTTACAATAACTGCTCATTTTAAGATTCATGAGCACCAATTTTGATACGTCACCAATGTCGCGTTTCACTCATAAACATTTTTTCACTTAGTCAAATGTTTGGTTTTGATATTTTAGGGATCAACACCAGATTGTTGTTGCACATATCAGAAACATAAATGTATAAAAAACAGACTGCTAAACATAAATATACTAAAGCTTCAGTGGAATCTGCACAAACAGGCACGTTTGTAAGTTGGCGTTCGTGTCGGAGTCACAGCTGCCGTCTAATTCTCTCGCCTGGCATCATGGGAGCCCTGCAGTGAGGCAAGACCCGTGTGTGTGTGTGTGTGTGTGTGTCAGGCAGGCCGCTTTCCAGAAGAGAATTTCTCCATATGATTTGCTCTTTTTCAGCCGATTTTAAGCCCAGTGTTCGGCCGCTCCTGCCTGCTGTCGGTCAGCGGAGCATTCTCTGCTCCTCCTGGAGCCAAGAGCGACGCCAATAATCCAGTCATCCGTGATCTCCTGCTTACAGGCCAGAAAGAGAAGCATCCGCTTTCTTCCCTCATCTTCATCTCTTCCCTCGCTTAATAAGTGCTGATGTTTGAATTTGACCACTAGTCTCTTGAGCCGCTTCATCCCAGCTGGCATTGAGTCCAAGGACGACGCAGCGTGTTCTTCCCATCAATTTTGCCTTTGTCTTTCTGTTTTGAAGTTTAAGTTGAAGGAAATAAATTACTAACTGGAAAACTGACATAAAAATAAATTAAACCTAAATAGTAATGTTAGCATAAAAAAACGAAAGACTAAGTTACTAAAATTAAAGAATATATATATATATATATTTATATATGCGCCTTGGCAGCTAAATGAAGTAGGTTTAATTTAAAACAAAATTAAATAAATTAAACCTAACTAGTAATATTTTAAAAACTACTACAAATGAAAAAAATGTAAAATAACAAATAAAATATAAAAACCAGTTAAAATAATTTCAAAATATTAAAATAATAGTAATAAATAATACTCAAACAAAATAGATATAAAAGACTTAAACTGCATAAAAATTAAGGCAATTCAAACAATCCTTTAATAGAACTCCATAGACGAACAGGTATTCCAACATAAACTCCAAAACATCAACGCAACCACATCAAAGCAACATTAATAACCAGCGGGACTGAACAGAAATGAGGACTATTTATTAGGGATGCACCGATATGAAAATTTTGGCCGATACCGATAACCGATTATTCTTTATTTTTGAAAGCCGATAACCGATATGTTGGCCGATAAATCTATATCCAAATTGTTATATACTTTTTGAGAGCCTGATTACAAAAAAGGTCTCATCATTAAAAACCACATCCCAAACACTTCAACATAAGCAGCCTAGTTTGAACGGTGTACGTTTTAAAAATATTTTTACTCTCCCATTACCAAATTTAGTCATAAAAAAGTCTTACAAATAAATAAAATTATGCATAAATAATGCAAACAAGTCACTGGACATCATTACACGTGTAAAGAATCAAAATGAATGTGCCACAGATCAATAAAACAGAATAGCCTCTGCACGGACAATAATTAAATGATTTTAATTACTAAACCATATTGTTGATGAAAATAATAAGAGAAAAATACAAGTGGTTGTTGTTATTAATAATATATCAATGATTTTGAAAAAGTAACAAATTAATACCACTGTTTTAAATAGCAGCCATTGAGCTGCAGCTCAAGCTGAAGCTGAAGAGCTGAATGAACACGGTAAACTGAAGCGTTTTGCTGGCAGCTTATTTAACTCAAGGAAATGCATCCTGACATTAATATTAATACAACATAAACATAATATTACAACTTATATATGTACAAAATGACGCAGTTATTGCATGCTATAGTCAGAATGTGTGATCCTGTTGTGGATGCGCTCTTCCCATAACAACGCGCTGAAACACAGCAACTAAACCCAAAGAATGCACAACGTTTTATTATAATAATGTTCTCATTAGAATGTTATATACACGACATTCCCAATCATAGTTATTAATGTTGTGCACTGCTGTTTGAGCTGCGTGCGCTGAGCTAAAGACGATCACCGGTAAACTGAAGCGCTCTTAACTTAACCAAACGCATTCTATATGAGATAAATCAGATATACATCAAATAAACACAATATTACAACGTACAATTGCACAAAAGGCTGCAAACGAACAGCGCACATCTGAAGTGTCTCTGAAGGAAATAATGCATTATTTATCGGCTTTAAGATATCGGCCAAATTTTCTTATCAGGCCGATACCGATAACAGAAAAAAATGAGCATTTATCGGCCGATACCGATATGGTGGCCGATATATCGTGCATCCCTAAAAAATACAACTGTTAGTTCATGTTAGCTCAGGTCCTTTAAACAATATGAACAAATACGACGTTTGAGTTTAATAATGTATTAGTAAATGTTGAAATTAACTAAGATTAATGAAGGTTTTAGAAGTATTTTCATTCTTAGTTCATGTTTACTATGCAGTTAATTAATATTAACAAACAGAATATTATTGTAAACTGCTACCACAATACTAAAATAACACAGGTTTGTAATAACTAGCTAGTATTGCTGATAAAAGCATTCTCCGCAATCTTTCTTTCCAGTTTGTAAATCCTGCACTGCAAAAAAAAAAATGTTTTTTTTGTCTTGTTTCCAGCCAGAATATCTTATAATAATGTTCTCATTAGAATGTTATATACACGACATTCCCAATCATAGTTATTAATGTTGTGCACTGCTGTTTGAGCTGCGTGTGCTGAGCTAAAGATGATCACCGGTAAACTGAAGCGCTCTTTTAACTTAACCAAACACATTCTATATGAGATAAATCAGATATACATCAAATAAACACAATATTACAATGTACAATTGCACAAAAGGCTGCAAACGAACAGCGCGCATCTGAAGTGTCTCTGAAGGAAATAATGCATTATTTATCGGCTTTAAGATATCGGCCAAATTTTCTTATCAGGCCGATACCGATAACAGAAAAAATGAGCCGATATGGGCCGATA